TTTGGAGGATTATTAGGGAATGAGGAACCTTAAAAGGGGCTTCAAAGAGTTGAGTGGACTGCCATGATAATATTTTTGTCATTATCATTATGTCACTAAAACACAACCACCAATTACGTAAAACTAGGCCACATTACTTGATAAATGCCATATGCCAAAGGTGCCCTGCCTGCGGAAAGCATTGACACAAAAGCTAGTTTTTTGCTCTTCTTTTGTCGTTCTGGGCTGAGGTTATTTTATGTGTGCCTTTGCTTGAGAATGTGAAGTATGTGGGTGGTCCTTCTCACTGAATGATGACTAAGGAACTGAGGATTTGTATACTGAAATGATCATTATGAATTAGGCTTTCTAGGATAAATTTGTGGATTGTGGAAATGTAAAGAGATGACCAGTTTTCAGGTGGTAGGATCTGAAATTAGGGCTAGTCTACTTACTGAGTTCTGCATTGTAAACGGTACCTGCAGGCATAATGATGTGCTTAAATCCTCAAATACGTCAATTTTTAAGATTTGGAGTCTAAGATTTATATTGAGATGTCTTCACTCCTTTTTCTTCTTCAACAAATGCAACATCATTATATAAGCATTGCTCAGTTTTGTTTTCATCTTACCAAGAGCACAAGAAAAAGATGACGTCTCCCTCTCTCTTGCTTTTGATATTGTTAATGAATATTAAATCATTTGATATAGATTGCCCAAGAGTCTGTCAAGTAAATATCCAGTTGTAGCATTTGCAGAATCACTTGAATTAGGATTGTGGTTCCTTTATTTATATGCAGCATCAGTTACACCTAGACTAAAGTAGTTTTTGTGTCACCCTTATAGTGGAGCTACATGTGAAGTGCGATGGCATAGTGCCAAGAGCTGGCGCATTGAGCTACCAGCTTTAGCACAAACTCTGGTGTGCAACGAATAACTATGCCTGCATTTGGATTTGATAAGTTTTAAAAAGAACTTCGAATGAATGATTTGGTATGATGAATTCAATGTGCTGTTTGCTAAGAATAACAAGCTTCACATAACATAGAAAATTAAAGAATTATATGTACTCATGTACCCATGTATCGGATGTCTGCAAATTAAAAAGAAAAGAAAGAAAAAGTTAAGAGATAGTTATTTTCTTGGTGTGCCTTTATTCTTGTGTATGAATGCAGCCTAAATTTCTGTTCTACTTGCACTTTGTCATCCCCAGGGACAAAAATGTAAGGATGAATAGAGTAATTACTGAATAAAGCTATTAACCCTTAATATTATTAATCCATTGAATATTAACTAGTAAGTATAGTCGGATATATTGCTCTCAACTGAGACAAAACCAAGCCAACGGCATTGCATTTCTTGTTATTTGTTGCAATCAATCACTAACCCCCTTTTCTCATATTTTCTGATTTATACTAATGATAGTTCCTTGGGCTCCTGGCGGTTCAAAGTTTACTCGTAACCCAACTCCACCTGAAGGGGTAAGTCATTATGGTTATGTACTAATAAGTTTTTCTGTGTATTGTTTTTCATGACTTATGCTTGATGTGATGATTAGAACACACACATGGATAACTCATCGAAGTTGACAACTAAATGCATTTGGTGGATGGCACAAGAATGATTAAATATTAAAACACAATAAAACAGAGAAGGTCAAGTGATCTATTTTGGCGTAGATTTAGTGTGGATCTTACCATCCCCTACGCTCCACTTTTATAATTGCTGTTGGAGCAATTATCTCCATTTACCTTTAAATCCTTCAATATGTTATTGCCCATGCGTACAGATACAGAATAGAACATCGTGGATGCACTAATCAATAAATTCATTTGCCTTTATGGTAAAGATTGCAAATTCAGTGAACGTATCATTCTTTAAATTCCTCTTTTCTGTATTGAACAAATTGCCTGTCAACAATTCAGCATTTATAGGAGACAAAATAATTAAAATATTGTAAGGAATGTGGAAAAACAAAACATTCTTCGCTCTAGAGTGAGTTAGTTATTCGTTCTGTTTGTTGCTGATGAGTTCCTTTAAATTTGCACTTATACAGCTTCGGTTTGAGCTTATTTGTGGCTGAATTTGATAATCTGTTGTTGATGCAGATTGAGATAATATATGATTATGGTCGTGAAGACAATAACTGAAACTGTCATTTTCTGTGCAATGAATAAAGGTCAGCAGCCAAATTGTTCTTTTACTAAACTAATTCCCGTGCCCTGACTACACAATTATTCATGAAGCATGTATTAGTTCCCCCCTGCTTGGATGAAAAGCATGGACATATGGTGTATGAGCACTGAGTCTTATCCTTTGTGGCATTTTCAATCATGTCTCCTGCTCATGGCTTTTTAAAGTTTTATGTATAAACTATTTTGTCAGGTGGACGGTATATTCGGTGCATAGCTTTCCCTTCTCCCCGCCATTCACATTGGGAGAAACGACCCATTTTACTTCATATTTTTAAAAGTGTAATTTTAATTAATTATGCAGATAAAAATTATCCAGACTTGCGAGAAGGGAGAACGCCATGGCAGGCTTTGTTTGTTACTTGGAGCATAATTGCTATGTCGTTGTCATTTCATCATTGTTACAATGGCTTGTTATGTTGCTGGATTTGGATTAATCCCTGAATTTGACGGCAAGTTATGTGCATACAATTTTCTTTTTCATCTTATTATTCTTTTTTCCCACTTTTATTTTATCAAAAGGGAGCCGGTCTATGGCAAATTATATGTTACGTCCCATGCGGGTCTAACAAGTTCTGATCTCCCAATCCCTGATAATCAAGGCTTCCGATATCTGAAATGAGATCCTCATACGCGTTTCCGTTTGTCTTATTCTGAATTTCTAGCAATGTTAACCAGTAGCAACTAGTTTTTGCTGCTACTCTGCTCGGCCTCTTGGAGCTTCAAAGATGTTAATATACGGATGCAGCTCATGAAATTTTGATGTCCGAGGTGATTGACAGATCATGTTAACATGTATTCCTACAGGTTATAATATAGGATTAGCCACGTATCTTGTAATAATTAAGTAATAACATCTAGCAATAATTGATGCTATTGTGTTAATTTTAAATGTCAACTCATTAGAATATTATTTTGGGGGCATTTGAAATGTTTAGCTCATAGAATGCCTTGAAAAGATAAAAGGAAAATGGAGAAAGCAAAATTGATGCATTACTTGCCATTTATAAGAAATCGCGTTACTTGTTTATAGACAATGAAACCAATATAGGATATAAACATGTCATAGGACTTGGAGGAAATTAGTACATACAAGGACACGGAGCCTATAGAAACAGATCTTCTTCAATTAAGGTCGTAATGAAAGAGGATACTTAATAAATCCTCTCAAGTTTATGCGTGATTAAAGGTTCAAACAATTATTTGCAAAGAAACTTGGGATTCAAGAGATTATTTACATTCAAAAAATTACCAGATGTATCATGCTTCTTCCACGAATAGAATTACTAACAAGGTCAAGAACTGTTTATACAAAATTAGAAGTTTGAAAATTTATTAGCAAGATGATGATTACAAAAATTTCATACATGCATATAAGCAACCTAAAATTTAAAAAGATATAGATATTTTTACCTATTTTCAGTTTAATTGTAACTCTTCCAGATGGATTTCTAAAGCAACAAGGGAAATATAAATTTGATTAAAACTCAGTAACCTTGAAACTAGAAGCTTCGCAAAATGTGTCGGCAAACAACTTATCACTCTTGGTCGTGGTTTCAAGTCCGCGCTCTTTATTTCAAACCAGGCTAAAGGGGGATGCCAATTGCATATGAATGACGATATTTTTCCTTGTGCTTGAAGCAATATCTTGGCAACAAACAAGAGCTTCGTGAAATTGCTAGACTTGATCCACACCATACATCTGACGAATCTTCATTAATAAGCGGTAACACATGCCAGATTCTAAACCCAGTTAAAATGGATTTTCCATAAATAACACCCATTCGGTCCTTAATATAAGACCTATTTAACTAATTTGATTAGATTAAGGAAGTTAGGTAAGTTAGTTAATCATAAGAAATATGACACGTTTTTCCTAAAATACCATAATCATCTTTCTTAATACTCCTCTTCCTCTTATACTTGATTATGGTTGAGGGAGTATCCATATGAGTAACTTAGAGAAAATTGATAAATATAAGAAATGAATCTTATATTTAGGACCAAAACCAACTCAACAATTAGGTCCTATATTAAGAACCGAAGGAGTAATCAATAATTTTTATAGAATGAAAAATAGAAAGCACTGTGATACCTTTTTTAAAGGGAAAAGGAAAAACCAAATTAAGTGCCTAGCATTTGTACAGATATCTTACTTGGATTAAACTTCGCATACAAAACACACCATCCACCCCGGGGGCCCAAAAACAAAAAGGGGAGAGGGGGGGGTCCCTCCATGGCTAGATGCATCAAACTATTACATTCCAAGTCTAAACTGCAACGTCGAGAGTAAATATTGATTCTATGTACGATATAAATTTCTGTAGAAGTCCCAACCTAGCAACTCAAATTACTCTCTCATCTAACACAGAAACTCCAGATTTTGACCACTCAGCCTCAAATTCAATGATTTCTAACGGTGTAAGATTTAAAGATAGGATTCCTTCACATTATTTTGGTGCTAAGTACTAACTACAGCTACAAATTAAAGTCAATGAGTGTCTCAACTCAAGTTGCTGCTAACGAAGGAATGCCACCTATGATATCCCCATTACATAAACCCATTCAGGAACCCAGTTTCTTGACGCATTCTTGGCAGTATTTGGTGAAGGAAAATGCGGATACGAAGCCAGATGTTCTTTACTTATTAATCTCACTTAACTTCACATGTTTATGTGCAGCCTTAAAGATTATGTAATCTCATGTGTATACTTCTTACTCCACTAAAACCAGAAAAAGAGAGGAGAAAACGTATCAATCCTAAGTTACAAAGGACAGGAAAAAAAAAACTGAATCGTGATGATAATTAAGTTCACAATCAAACAGAGCATCACGAAACTGCTATCAGTATTCCGTATAGTATAAATTAAGGGTGAATGTCCATTTATAAAGGCCAGTGAAGGAAGAGCCATAACATCCACTATGAAAGTCGAAGCACATGTAACAGTAGTTGGGTGAATTCAAACAGAAACCAGTATTCAGTAATAAATGGTAAAGGGAGCATGAATCAGAGATTTATGAAGTCTAATCCCTAGCACCAAAGGCCCAAAATTATGAGCTAGAAAACTCTTAGAATTCAAAATCAGATAAGCTTGAATGGAAGAGGCCAAGGAGTAGACCTGGGAACCTCGACCTTGTCTTTAATGCGCTCGATCATCTTCTCCCTCTTAGGCCTAGCGTTGCCATATGATCCCTTGAATCTCTTCCCTCGCTTCGTCTTTTTGTCCCCGCGCCCGCACAACACCGGCAACGGAATAGCTCCTCCACAGGACGGCGCCGCAGGAGAAGTCGCCGTCGAGGTCGGCCGCGGTGTCATCATAACCCGCCACAATACTCCGCCGGATCTCTGCATCGCACCTGTTGCCATGGTTCTAGCTGACTCGCGCTCCAGTGGCTAAACCCCGAGAGCAGAACAGGAGGGAAGGGGAAACGGGAATCGCTGATGGGTAACATGGGCTGGGCTTTGCTTTGAAACTGGGCCTATGGGCTATACGGGCCATGATTGGTCCTTTGGTCTGGGCTTTGCTTTCAAACTGGGCCTATCAGCTATACAGGCCCAATAGTCGCTGTCTTAACATTGGCTAGTGAGGCCACGGTCCAGTTTGATATTTGAAGCCGCCATCTGATTGTTTAAAATAATTATTTGCTCAAAAAAAAAAAAAATTGTTTAAAATAATTAATGACACGGGGGCCCACATCTTTGAACGGCGTCTTGTGCCTTTTGGCAGATTCCGGATCCAAGGCACTAATAAAAGCTCTAGATATGGATCTATTGCAGTGGCCGATATTGTATGTTACTTTTGTAAAAGTAACACTTTTATAGTATTTATATAATAATGGATATTCCGTTCATAATTTGGGATTTCAAATAATATGAATGGTTTGAAAATTTTATAAATTTAAAAAGAAAAATAAATTGATATCTTTTATTTATGATCAAAGTAAACATCCTAATTAGTTTTTAGATTTGAGATCAAAAGAAGTATATATTTTAAATTGGATGATTTTTAGCAACATGGAAAAAAAAGAAACTACGGCGAATTCAAACCCCTAATGCTATACCTCGCGATCTTGGGAGGATTTTCCCCAAGAGTGGCTTCCCTCTGCTACTTGTTTGGTTCTTTGACTGCCCACTGCTTGAAGTGACGCCGTTTTGTAGCTGTTTCCTTTTTTTTTCCTTACATTACAATTAGGTGAGGTTGCGCTAAGAAAGAGAATGGGAGAGGGGGCTATTCTCCTTTTTGGGAAGTTAGTTGTAGTTGGGATCCACTCAATAGGAATAAAAAATATTTATAAAATACTACTAAATAAAAATTAATAGAAATGATTTTGAAGAGAAAATAAAATTAAATGAAAGAAAAATTAAAATAAATAAAATGATTTTATAGATACAAAGTATTTTTATATTTCTAAAATAAAAATTAGTAAAAGAATACTCCTCTCTAGCCCTATTTATTATAAGGCACTTCAAGTTAAGAAAAACCTTAAATTGTATTAATTATCTATTAAAATACACTAACTCTTTAACTTTATACCTATTTGATATATATTTAAAAATAGATCTATATTATAATAAATGAAGGATAAAATAATATATTCATACTAAAAATTTAATAAAGCGACCTATAAATAAGAATAGGAAAAATCATCTCTTTTTGCCTTATAAATAAAATCAAAAGAGTAAAGAGTTAACTTTCATCGTGCACTTTAAAGTATTTTTTAATAACGTTTAATATTTCAAAGTAATTTTTGTGCATCTAAAATTCTTAAAAATTTTTTTAGTAATTATCAGTATCTAAAGTAATTTTTGGTGGTAATTTTGCCATTGAAATATTTTCTAAGTAGCAATGAGCACCCTAAATTTAGAATACTAAGTTCTTCTGAAAAAATACTTTAGTATGTTAAATGCATAAAAATATTATAAAACACTGAATGCTATTAAAAAAAATACTATAAGGTGTTAGATAGAACTTAACTCTTTGTCTTTTACTAATTTTTATTTAGAAATACAGAAATATTTTGTATCTACAAAATCATTTTATTTATTTTAATTTTTCTTTCATTTAATTTTATTTTCTCTTCAAAATCATTTCTATTTACTTTTATTGAGGAGTATTTAGTAAACATTTTTTTTATTCCTTTTGGGTGGACCCCAACCACGACCGACTTTCCAAAAATTAGAATATTCTCCTCTCCCATTCTCTCTCTTGGCGCAACCTCACCTATGGAAATGTGAGGAAGAAAAGAAGAAAATCAGCTACAAAACGGCGTCACTTCAAGCAGCGGACCACGTAGTGCAGAGAAGCCACTCCCATTTTCCCTAACCACCATCTTCACTAGCAGAAAGGAAAAAGAAAAAGTGGGAACTCAGGCTAATATTTATAAGGGTAATTAATCAAGATAAACAATTGATGATTTCATACCAGGAAAGTGTGTCTTCATGTTTTTACCCTTAGGAAGAGCTTCCTTATAAAATATTATCTTAAAAAATTCAAAGGTTGAACCACAGTTAAAGTTATTACATGAAGGCAGAGTGCTAGCATAGATGCACTATCTTCCTTTATGCGATAGGGGTGAGACCTATTTGAATAAAGGCTTGCTTTATAATTGGTACATTGCTCACTTTATTCAACACTCGCAATAATTCCATTAAGGACTGTCTTGCCTCTTTGAATTGGTCTTTTTAAAGCCCAATCACATATCTAGGGTCTAAACAGACTATAACAACAACGAAAATGCAACTTTAAAAGATCAATGTTCTTTAAGTATTTTTCCTCTCTCATTGCACGGTCATTTTTGCAAGTGCTAAGTATTCAAATTGAAGTTCTCTCTCTCTCTCTCTCTCTCTCTCTCTCTCTCTCTCAACCAAAGGCTATGGATATGCCATAAAAACAAGATAAACCATATCAAGTTTAGATGCAATTTTAGCCGGCCAATAGCTTTTTACAGAATTAGATCCCCTACCCATTTTTCAACATGGGTAAGGCGCCCAAACGCTCATCTCATGATAAAAGTAGTTATGGTACAATCTTGAAATTATTTAAAAAAACCATAAAAATGCGAAAATGTGTCATTTTATAACTGCAAGGTATCTGCATATGTCCTATTTTATCTATAAGCTACAACAACAACAACAAACCTTGTTCCATTATATGAGATTAGTTGCATGTTTGCAAAATGATATTGTGCTTTATTATTAACTAAATCTTTAGATGGGTTGACAGCTAAAAAGTATCGTTCAATGATTTTATTGAGTGTTCTTTTCAATCTTTTCCTATTCTTTTTTAGAGGACTTTGTATTTTCTTATCTACTATTCTCATTGGTGCCTCCAAAAGCCTTATTTTTACATTTCCAAACGGAAGAACAATATCATCAAGGAAAAGCATTCACTTAAAGATTCCTTGTTGAATAAGCTTAGTTAGAAAACATCTAGAATAAGGTCAAACAAAAAAAATTGAAGTATAAACATTACAAGAGAGATTGCGGGTTTAAGCTCTTGAAGAAGAAGCTGGAAAAGAATTTGGGAATGCCATTTGCATGTGAACACACTTGCTTTTGTTAAAGCAGAGATTCAGCTTGTAGTTGCAGATATATGAGGAGGAGGAGGATGCCAAAAGAACCTCTAAAAAAAACAAGCATAAGATGCTGAGAGCCTGCACATCATAATTATTCATTAGATATTCTTACGTGCCATTTGTTGATATTCAAATTCCACTTTGTATTCTTCTCGTTACAGCTGCCGATATATATGCCTTATTGATTGCTCTGATCTAGAATCTTGAATATTCTGTAAAAGTTATCTTATAATTATATTTTATACATATATGCTTCCACAATACAAGTAAACCCAGAGCAACATGTATGTGTAAAAGTCAGACCTAGCTAGCCACAAAGCAATCTTTGTGAGGTTCGCACACAGACACAGAGGATTTTAGATTAAGAAACAGAGATCCAATTCTAAGAACTATGAGACAGTGAGAATATGAAGGACAATCATGACTTTCATACCACTTGCTTTGGTTTCTTTGGCATATGCCATTTTCTCTCCAATACTGACCTGCAAGCTTTATTTCAAGCTAGCAATGGAAGGCACATTTCTGTTATGTTTGGTTGGAAAGTAATAGAGAAATAAAGGAGAAGGATTTTCTTTATTTACCATTAAGAATGCCTTTCCAGTCATCTCTATCTCCTAGATTGCGTCGAACCTCTTCCAAATAACCAAAAAAGAAACCTATGCTACGTGCTGATGTCCTTGAAAGAATAAGAAGCTCAAACGCGTAAAATCTTGGATTCCTTTCTGGAATAAGGATTTTGGGAACTAGTTTTAATACTTATCGTAATAATAAACATCATAATACTCATCATTGTGTTAAAATCTAAACCATTCCAAACTAGTTTTAATGGTTTAAATTTAAAATTTTTAACTTGTGATTTTTAAATAAAAAATTTATTTTTTGAAAACACTTACAGTTAAGATGTTACATTTATTCTAGATTATGTAACTATTGAAGAAAAAATATTTTTTGAACAACAAAAATATTTAATATTAAATATTGACTGTCCATATTAAATTTGAATAGTTGAGATTTGATAAGTATCATAGTGCTCATAACTTCAGTAAGCATCAAAACAGGCTTCAGGATTTAGGTATGTTTAAGCTTTTGTTTTGTATTTCTAAAAATTGACACGGAACATCAATTTAAGATAAGGATGAGGTTTTGGCAAGCACTAAGTAGAACATCAATTTTGGAAAGAAAGAAACATCAATGAAATTTATAAGAGTGGGTGTGATTTTTCTTTTATGCCTGGGCAACATAAAATTGGGGTAAATTAGTTACAGCCTCACAGGGACTTACAAGTAAGATTTTCAGATCAATGTAAAAAATGTGAATTAAAAGTCAAATCTTTACGAATAAAAATAACTTTTATTTGGAGGATGCGATGTAAAGCTAGATTAGGAGGTGTGGGAAGGGGAAAGCATCAAATTTGTGGTGAAATATAGGGCGAAAGAAGACCACTTGGAAAGAGGAAGCATCCAAGTCCCATGTACACCACAAATATGTGCCAACAAAATTGTGGTCAGCCCTTACGCGCAATTGGGGCAATTCCAACTCCTGCCGCCGCCCAACCCTCCCATTCATGCATCTCCCATTTCAGCAAAATGCCTTGCAAGCCATTTAATTGGATATCATAACTCTAATTTCCCATGGATCCGTCTTGGCTTCTATTACTAGTCAAAATATTTTTTATACGTTTCTTGTTAACTTTCCTTAAACATTTAATAATGTTTTGCTGCTTACAAATTGGGCCATGATATACCACTCTGATGCTTTTTTAATTGTTATTTATAAGAGAAGATTTTAGTCTTTTTTTAATTTATCACTTGTACTTTTTTTTT